GACTTGCTGTTACAATTACGTTCATCACTTCACGTGGTTGTGTTTTAATTCAGTGATCGAAACTTTGATATCAAACAAGCACACAAACAGCAGCTGAAGAATGCGCTACTCGCACCAACATTGTCATACAAGTGCCAGGCATGGACAGTCTTTGAAAAACATAAACCCACAATTACAATCATGTGAGATAAGACGAGAAGAAATGCGGCGAGGAAAGAAAAACTACTACAAAAAACAAAGTCCCAGATGAAGAGCTAAGAAAACTGTAGGCACGATACCAAGTAATGATTTCATCATCGTCAAATGCCCTGCCAACTGGCGTAGGCGCTCATGCGTCTCCACAGATCACGATCCCTGGGTGCCTGAAACAACTCTCTTGATGATATCCCTTCATGTCCTCGTTTCAGACCATTCAGCATCGTCTCTATTGGTCTGCCTCTACCCATTTTTCCACTGGTCTTTCCAGTTGTCACGATGTTCTCCAATGTCTCTTTTCTCAGTGTGTGGCAAAAGAACAGTGTTTGTCTCTTTTTTTTATAAATGATTTCACAGAACGTACAAGAATCAAATGGTTTGGTTATCTGTTCAGAACTGAACAAAATCAGCCCGACAAACTGTATGACATGAGAACAGCAGGCTATATGGCAAAAGGCCCACCATAAAAAAATTGTAAGGAGTAAGTAAAGTAAAGGTCCGTTTTCCACGCCTTTAGGCATACAGGGCATATAGGGCTAGACCTTTTTTTTATAGACTAATCGGCAGAAGGTGGGTGATGTGGTCAGCATCACTCCGGCTGCCTTTACTTCCCAGGACTGCATCAGGTACCTACTCAAGGCTTTTTCGAACTAGGAGTCAAGGTCATTTTTGAAAAAAGTCAGGGAAGCGAACCCGCGACCCTCCGATCCGCACGCGAGCATCTAGCCGCTACGCCACGGCGACTGCCCTAATCGCATGGAGTGAGTAAAAAGGAATACTGCAGAAATTTTATATGCAATTAACAGAGCCAATGCAACTGGGGAAAAAAGGAAACTACACCTAACTCCGCTCTGCAACGTTTTGCGGCATAAGTAGTTGGGGCAAAGTAATAAAGAAGATCAAAACTATATCGTCAGCATTTAGCAACAGATGGTTCACAGTGTGCCCACCAGTCGATATTCCTGGAATACCAGATACGGATCTCGGGGTCAGTTACTTCATCATCGTTGAGAGTTCATCATCGTCTTATTATCCCATTATATAACACGAACGGCTCGCAGTCTATTCTTCCATTCCGATCTATCCTCTGAAACCAGTTCAATGTCATGTATGGAATCCAGTCTAGCAGCTTTGGCCTCTCTCATCAAAGTTCTTCTTGTCGTTTCTTTTGGACGTCCTCGCTTTCTCAGTCCATTTGTATCTCATTTTAGTCCCTATTTAGTAATCCTCTGTTCGTTACTTTTTAGGATATGTCCGGTATTACCTATCAAAATTACTACCTAATAAATAAATTCGCCTATTTTTATTCTTATTTTGCCCCTGATGTTACATCTGTTTGATTTCTTTTTAGTGTGTCTTTCTAAAACCGATAACAAAACTGTTGTTGCTTGTTTTGCCAAATCATGTATTCCTTTGCATGTCATTGTTTTGATTTGGTTTTATTTTTTTCTTTAACCTAAAAGAACGATGTTATCAGCAAAGTCAAGATCCCCCAAGTGCATGGTCTCAAGCCAGACTAGGCGGTGTTTTCTTCACTCCATGCACTACACACACCTCTTGACACGTTTGTCTACAAGAATGGCATCCTTTCCTGCAATTTCTGCAGCAAAGACGTATTTTTTTTTTAAACAGGGTGGGGGGAGATGACGCTAGGTCGACTCTCCTCCTTTCTCATCCGGTCTTAGGACCGGCAATGGTGTTAAGTTACAAAGAGAACACAAAATTACATAGCACACAGTCAACAATTGTTGGGATTGGTTAAAGGTGTTCTGTGAAGAACGACAAGCTAGAGTGCGTTTACAAATTTGTGCCGCTGTATGTTCGTAAATTTATTGGTAATAAACTTATGTTGGGAACGTGCTAGTGTGTGTGTGTGTGTGTGTGTGTGTGTGTGTGTGTGTGTGTGTGTGTGTGTGTGTGTGTGGATGTGTTTTTGCACGGTCTTCTAAATTAATCTCAATTTTAATGTTGTATACGTAAGCATAATTTAAACTGCCCAGTTGTATCGAAAGAGACATTTTCTTTGTTATTCTCGACACTTGTATACTATTAGTTAGGTATCAAAACAAATACAGTACCAACGTGAATTACCCTAACCATAATTAAATAAGTTACGCCTTTACAATATGTGATGAAACTTGGACACTATTCAGAACAATCGTTCTTTTATCCGAGCTACGACACTTTCTGTACAACAGTTGTGGTCTTATTAAGAATTTACGTAAAATACCAGAAACACGTGTTTTTGTGAATGATCGATTGTTTATATATGAACTTTGTACTTTATAGCTTTTAAAAAGCAATCTAGCAAGGGTCAAAGTATAATTATGTACCTGGAATAAGCAAACTGGCATTATAATTGCTTATGCAAGCAACAACAACAACAACAACAAATTTTGAAAGAAAGTGTCCTAACGTTAGGAATGAAAATATAATGTAATCCATTTACATTCAACTAGAGCTGTGATATCCGTGAAGTGTTGCTGACCACATCACCCACCTTGTGCCGATTGGTCTATAAAAGATTTAGGTCTAGCCCTATATGCCCTATACGCCTACAGGCGTGAAAACGGGTCCTTTACTTTACTTTACTTTTTATAGCTGATTTAGGCATTTTTTTTTTATACAGCAGCATGAATTTGTAAACGAACTGTAGCTATGTGTCTAACAGCAGCATTAGCAGGATAACGAATGATATTTGCTGACCTAATTCGTTTGCTTGCTGCGCCGTGGATCAGAAACTAACCATTGTATTATAAAAATACACTAGACGTTCTCTACATTAACGAGCAAGAAAAAAACAACAAAACAAAGTTAACACACATCGTGTTAGGGGCAAAACTTTTACAAAGAACTAAATGATATTTCTGACAATCATTGTATCAACTTCTCAAACCTTTCAATAATTTATGTGGATTCAGATGCGAGCTTTAAAACTGTGATAGCCGTGTTGTGAATGTTTTTATAAATAATGGGTTTAAAGCAGTTTCATTATTAAACGGCGGTGATGTATATCAGAATGAAGCACCGCAATACCGTAGTGGTTAGATTATTTAGAGTCCTGTAAACTACTTGGAGACTTTTCCAAAAAGACTTTTAAGAAACGTCAAAGAGCCTTGCTAGTGGATTAGTCATTTGGTAACGAAGATTTCGTGCAAATCTCAGAAGTCTTCAAAACTGATTGATCATTTCGTCATGAAGCCGACTCGCAACCTTGAGACAGCCAAGCTAATGATTTAATCATTTGGTAACGAAGATTTCTTGCATATCTCAGACAACATTTAAAACTGATTGATCATTTCGTCATGAAGCCGACTCGCAACCTTGAGACAGCCAAGCTAATGATTTGATCATTTGGTAACAAAGATTTCTTGCATATCTCAGACAACATTTAAAACTGATTGATCATTTCGTCATGAAGCCGACTCGCAACCTTGAGACAGCCAAGCTAATGATTTGATCATTTGGTAACAAAGATTTCTTGCATATCTCAGACAATATTTAAAACTGATTGATCATTTCGTCATGAAGCCGACTCGCAACCTTGAGACAGCCAAGCTAATGATTTAATCATTTGGTAACAAAGATTTCTTGCATATCTCAGACAACATTTAAAACTGATTGATCATTTCGTCATGAAGCCGACTCGCAACCTTGAGAGAACCAAGCTAATGATTTAATCATTTGGTAACGAAGATTTCTTGCATATCTCAGACAACATTTAAAACTGATTGATCATTTCGTCATGGTTGGAAACCGAAAAGACTAGCCTAACGGCTACCTCAGCGAATTGTAGTGGGAAGATGTAACATTCGTCAATGAGCTCTGTCAAGAGCACAATTAAGACTAATGTTTATTTCTGTAAGGCTGGTATTAATGCCATCACTCCGTGTTTTCCGAGGTCTTCCACTCGCTCTATACCCATAGTAACGTTTTAGTGTGGCTCGCTGTGGATGATAGTACCAGGGCATTCTTGTTAAGTGTCCAAACAACTTCATTTGTTGTTCTTTGATGACTTGTAAGACTGGCTTTATTCCTAGCATTCGTCTGATTTAGTGATTTCGTATTCTGTAATAGATTTAACAATGAGTCGTAATTTAACGTACGCTTGCTTGTTTGATGACAGTACTGGCATATACGTCTTTGTTTCTGTGTTGACAATTTCCCTTATGCTGCTGTGTAAAAGTCTTTTAGTGATAATCTTGACGTGTCGCTGCTCAGAACTGCGGGGAAATATCAACGTTGTATTTGCGTCCATGTCTGTTAATGACCTAATTCTAGCAGTCGCCATCTTCTACTACAACTTCGCTCTCATGCCGCTAGACATGTCTGCCAGTTTGAAAACTAACTTCATGACATGTCTTATTTTTGGCCACTTCTTCGGAACTGTCATTGTATCTTTGATGCATATTGGTGTATTGGCACTGGATCGCTACATTCATATACTTCATCCACTTTATTATATGAGAAAAGTAAACAAGTGGCGCGTATTCGCGGTGCTGATTTGTGTATGGACTATAGGAATCGCGGCCATGTTTGTCCCCGTTTTCGTGTATACAGACGACAAGTACCATGAAACTTGTATGTTTTTACACCCGCCAATTGTTTACTATAGCGTTACATCTGCGATTTACATTGTAATCTTCTTTAGCGTGTTCATCTGTTATTTTAAAATTGCTTTTTTGGCTTTCACACGCAGAAAAGCCGCCAATAATAGAAGCATCGACACGAACCTAACAGAACAAGCCACCATTGTTAGAAGTAATCAACAGTCGGCTGCAAGAAGTGTCAAATTTTTTATTGTTATGTTTGGAATGTTTGCCATTGCTAGTTTGCCGATTGTTATCGTAACTTGGTTTGGTTATCATTACAAAATGGAAGATGTTATACCCAGAGTAATGTTCTTCTCAATACCAATTTATTTAATTTTGAATATATTCACTTATGCGAAGATGAACCGAGATTTTTCACGTGTGATACAATCAACCTGTTTCAGTTTCAGATGCTTTCCCTGCAGAAGAAATCTCTAACGCTGAGATGTAATAAATACTGATCTATGAGAGAAAATGTACAATGGTGATATTACTTTCATTCTTAAACTTTTTTTTTTTTTCAATTTGTATTATTGAACATGTCCTTTTCGCCCGCCTGCGGATCGGAAGGTCGTGGGTTCGCGTCCTGACAAAGCAGGACTTTTAAAAAAAAGTGACCTTGACTCTCAGGTCGACCCAGCTTTGAGTGGGTTCAGGTGCAGTCCTGGGAGGTAAAGGCGGCCGGCGTGATGCTGACCACATTACCCACCAAGTGCCAATTAGTCTATAAAAAATATAGGTCTAGCCCTGTATTCCCAATACGTCTAACGGCGTGGAAAAAGGACCTTTTACTTTTACTAACATTTCCTTTTATGTAAAGGTGGGAAAACAACGGATCAATGAAACACTATGATGGAGTCAGCATTTGCTGACCATCTTCTTCTTCTTCTTTGCGTTCACCAGCTGTAAACTCTGGCGAAAAGTTGTGGTTGTTCGTCCACTACTAGACTGCAGTCCTGTTCCGGAACCTGGGTGTTGTGCATCTGTTTTACAGATCTGACCTATCTGTGTGCAGACTGCTGGTTCCTTGCCTCTCAGGCAGATGTACTCCGACTTCAAAGTAAGCCCCCAAATAGTCGACTCTTACGACATGCTTTTGCGTAGGCGGTGGGTCTATTCTTGTTTTCCCTATTATAGGGCCCTGGAACCCACACGGGGAATGTGTTGGTATCAAATGCTTTCATTACTAAAGATCTCGCGAGAGTTGAGGTATCTTGAGTATATTAACTTACAATGATGTATAACATTAGTTGGAGCAATCTTGCATGCCTTAATTTACAATTCTTAAACAACATCATATTCTGTTAGATAACCAGGCTTAAATGTCCCATAACATCTTTAGCTGACAGATAACACAGCATTAAATGTTCCATAACATCATTTTTTGACAGATAACGTAGATGTAAAAGTTCCATAACATCTTTACCTGACAGATAACACAGCTTTGAATGTTCCATAACATCATTTTTTGACAGATAACGTAGATGTAAAAGTTCCATAACATCACTACCTGACAGAAAACACAGCATTAAATGTTCCATAATATCATTTTTAAGACAGATAACGTAGATGTAAAAGTTCCATAACATCTTTACCTGACAGATAACACAGCTTTGAATGTTCCATAACATCATTTTTTGACAGATAACGTAGATGTAAAAGTTCCATAACATCACTACCTGACAGAAAACACAGCATTAAATGTTCCATAATATCATTTTTAAGACAGATAACGTAGATGTAAAAGTTCCATAACATCATTACCTAACAGATAACACAACATTGAATGTTCCATAACATCATTACCTGACAGATAACACAGCATTGAATGTTCCATAACATCATTTTTGACAAATAACGTAGATGTAAAAGTTCCATAACATCATTACCTGACAGATAACACAGCATTGAATGTTCCTTAACATCATTACCTGAAAGATAACACAGCATTGAATGTTCCATAACATCATTTTTTTCACAGATAACGTAGGTGTAAATGTTCCATAAAATCATTACCTGACAGATAACACAGGTTTGGATGTTCCATGACACAAAAACTGACAGATAACAGAAGCTTAAATGTTCTGCAAAAATATTTTATGTTAGTAACACCTTCTTGAGTGTTGCATAACTTGGTTTTCTTAATATTAGAAATTAAGAATGAAGTAGTCACTACTAACACTTTGGTCCAATACCATATTCGGTTCTAGCTCGAGCATTTTGCATCTTCAACATTTGAAAACAGCCTGTCTATTGAAGAATGCTGCTGTCGATTTAACGATTTGAATATTGAATTAAGAATCGACGTCACAGCACTCAGGACACTCCCATAAGTGATCAGTCCCATCTTCAGTTCCAATTCCGATAATGCCAGTAAGCGTCTGATTGTATATCTGTCTCATCCTTCCCCTGAGTGTTGAGCGTCGGCCAGATCCCCTGGTAACTCCTCGCAGCGCTATTCTCCTTAGACCGTAATGATCTATCTGTTCCTCGGCATTGTTCACTCGCTCACAAAGAGCCCTCACAACATCCAGCTTGTCATACATCAATTCACCAGCTAGTGGGGGCAGAGCCAGCCAGTCTATCTGCCTGCTCATTTCCCAAGACACTGGCATCACCTGAAAAAAATATCCAAAGGATGCTAACTATCCGTGACCTCTAAAGGGATGCTTGCGATTTAACAAGTGGGGGAGATGGAGGTGGTGGGGGGGGGGGGTTGAATTGAGAGGATGTTTATATTTAGGAGCTGGTGTACGAGTTTTTTAAAGGCTCCTGTGTTGTATGAATCTTCCAAGTCTAGCGTCACAGTTCACGTCTCCACACCTGCATAGAAACCTTCATAGATATCGTAAGCAAAAACGGCAGCATTACTCCACGTATCCCCATGTGGTCCTTGCCTTCCTAGAGTTTTGATGGGCGCTGCTTGGTCTCGAGACATGATATCCGTCCCGAGGGCTGGAGGTTCCGGGTTCAATCCCCGGTAAGGGCTAGGATTTTTTTTCCCCGTGAACCTGGACGTCTAGCAATTCTCCCTCGTCTCTATGTAGTAGGATCGGACGCCTGTGTGCATTGTTGCGCACGTAAAAAATCCTTGACAGTTGAAAATTACCAAAAAAAAAAAAAAAAAAAAAAAATTGCATAACGGCGCTGCCCAGGCAAAATGTGGAGTTAAAATGTACCCAAAGTATTTCAAGATCCTCGCTGGTGCTGCAGAGTCTGTGCACTGTGCTTAGCTTATTCGGGCTCAGACTTGAGTTAGAAAAGCAACGGAGCCTTTATGGGTTACTATCCGTGTGCCATGATGTTGGTTCGTTGTTTCAAAGTTCAAACTTCAATCTTCACACTTCCCTGTGTTGATGGTAGTCTATCTGTTCTTATTTATGAGTAATTTTCGTTGTCACTACTTTTGTCTTGCACTTTTCCAACGATGAATAGAATAAGTACATCATCTTTGGACTTCATAATCAACAATTGTCTTGAGGTTTCACTTGGACGAGCTAGCTCACTCAAACCATCTGTTTACCATTTAACCGTCTGTTTAGTGATTCTGTATTTCCTTCTTCTGATAAAGCCCTTGAGCGTCATCTCCTTTGTCTGTCTATATCGGTAGTAGTTCAGACATTTTTCCTATTTTTTTTGTCCTTTGATATATTCATCCCATGTAATGATGATAGTTTTCGTCTTCTCCGTTGGGCCCCTAAAAGCGGGTGGGCACTGTGTGTTCTGATTTACAGCTAGGCTGCGAGGTCTGTGCCTTTTGTTACACCACATCCTAATTTAGCAAATGCTTAATTAGCCGATTGATTATGCATGCGTATTAATTAGCAGAGGGTCTACCGGGAAAGAGATTAATGGTTTAGCTGAAACCTGTAAAATGATGAATAAATCCATCACCTGAGGCCCCCCCCCCCCCCCCGAAAAGCGCAAGACACTGGGCTACAACCTGGTATCATCGAGACGACAAAACCATGACACTGGGCTACAACCTGGTATCATCGAGACGACAAAACCACGACACTAGGCTACAACATAGTACATCGAGACGACAAAACCACGACACTGGGCTTCAACCTGGTATCAGTGAGACGACAAAGCCACGACACTGGGCTACAACCTGGTATCAGTGAGACGACAAAGCCACGACACTGGGCTACAACATAGTACATCGAGACGACAAAAACACGACACTAGGCTACAACCTGGTATCAACGAGACGACAAAACCACGACACTAGGCTACAACCTGGTATCAACGAGACGACAAAGCCACGACACTAGGCTACAACATAGTACACCAAGACGACAAAAACACGATACTAGGCTACAACCTGGTATCATCGAGACGACAAAACCACGACACTGGGCTACAACCTGGTATCAGTGAGACGACAAAACCACGACACTGGGCTACAACCTAGTATCATCGAGACGACAAAACCACGACACTGGGCTACAACCTGGTATCATCGAGACGACAAAACCACGACACTGGGCTACAACCTGGTATCATCGAGACGACAAAACCACGACACTGGGCTACAACCTGGTATCAGTGAGACGACAAAACCACGACACTGGGCTGCAACCTGGTATCATCGAGACGACAAAACCACGACACAGGGCTGCAACCTGGTATCATCAAGACGACAAAACCACGACACTGGGCTACAACCTAGTATCATCGAGACGACAAAACCACGACACTGGGCTATAACCTGGTATCATCGAGACGACAAAACCACGACACTTGGCTGCAACCTGGTATCACTGAGACGACAAAACCACGACACTGGGCTACAACCTGGTATCATCGAGACGACAAAACCGCGACACTGGGCTACAACCTGGTATCATCGAGATGATAAAACCACGACACTGGGCTACAACCTGGTATCATCGAGACGACAAAACCACGACACTGGGCTACAACCTGGTATCAGTGAGACGACAAAACCACGACACTGGGCTACAACCTGGTATCAGTGAGACGACAAAACCACGACACTGGGCTATAACCTGGTATCAACGAGACGACAAAACCACGACACTGGGCTTCAACCTGGTATCATCGAGACGACAAAACCACGATACTGGGCTACAACCTGGTATCAACGAGACGACAAAACCACGACACTGGGCTACAACCTGGTATCATCGAGACGACAAAGCCACGACACTGGGCTACAACCTGGTATCATCGAAACGACAAAACCACGACACTGGGCTACAACCTGGTATCATCGAGACGACAAAACCACGACACTGAGCTACAACCTGGTATCATCGAGATGACAAAACCACGACACTGGGCTACAACCTGGTATCATCGAGACGACAAAACCACGACACTGGGCTACAACCTGGTATCAGTGAGACGACA